ATCAAATGCACTGAAGTACAGTCAAGATGATCAATTGAAGACTGGAGGTTTGACTTAAAAAATATTAAGTTGATCTCCTATTTAACCGACAACAGTCAAATAAAAGTAAAGCATATTTGTTTAACAAAAAAAAATTGTTTCTAGGGTTATTTACTTAATTATTCATAATAGAAATTAATTTATTAAATAAAGGAACAAAAGTATATAAAGTTGTGATTTTGATGAATATCAGAATCACTAATTATAATAATTTGGTTATCTAATCAACAATTATTAATAAAGATATTTCATGTAAAAAATACTTTTTGAACATGGCCTTTCATTGTATTTCACTGCATTGCAGGAAAGACCATTGCATTTCATTGCATATCATGATCAATCATTGTATTTCATTGCATTTCATGGTTAAACGTGGTATTTCATTGCATTTCATGATCCATTTTAACTCTGACCAATTTTAGACTTGAGACTCTTGTAGAGTTCTTTTTAGCAATGAAATAACCATGGTATTTGATGGTCAGGTTTGACAATGAAATGCTATGAAATACAATCAACCACGAAATGCAATGATATGCCATGATAAATGATAGTTATAATTATGGCAATGAAATACCATGGTGTGACCATAGTATTTGATGGTCAGGTTTGACAATAAAATGCCATGAAATACCACCAACCATGAAATGCAATGATAAAACCATGATAAATGAGAGTTATGATTTTGGCAATGAAATGACATGGTATGACCATGGTAATTGATTGTCACACGGTACAATGAAATGCCATGAAATGTCATCAACCATGGTATACAATGGTAATACCATGGTAAATGATGGTCAGGTACATAACAATAAAATATCATGGTATGACCATGACATTTGATTGTCAAATTGTACAATGAAATACCATCAACCATGATATACAATGGTAATACCATGGTAAATGATGGTCAGGAACATGGCAATGAAATACCATGGTATGACCATGGTATTTGATTGTCACATCTTATAATGAAATGCCATCAACCATGATATACCATGGTAAATTATGGTCAGGAACATGGCATTGAAATACCATGGTATTTGATTGTCACATCTTACAATGAAATGCCATGAAATGCAATCAACCATGATATACCATGGTAATACCATGGTAAATGATGGTCAGGAACATGGCAATGAAATACCATTGTATTTGATGGCAAACTTTGGACATGAAATACCATGAAACATGGTATAACATGATATACCATGGTCAAAAATTGACCAAAAAAACATCATTGCCACCATGGTCAGAGTTGATGGTAATTTCATTGCCGATCATGATAGACCATGGTAAACCATGGTATCATGGTTTACGTTTAAACATGGAAATTATAATTATAGAGTAATACTCAAGTTCAATATAACATCCCTCAGGGAATTCTCGATGAAAACCTTACACATTTTGCTGTATACAATTTCATAAATAAACCATATACTATTACCTAAACCCTAATTGTAACAACACATTTGAGATATTAAACAATATATTATGTTTTGATAATGTGAGAAGGTAGCTTGTAAAAACAGTTTGCAAAATAAATAAGATACCGTTACAAGTCTATGATAACATCATCTTTCGTTTATATGCTTGAGGTAGGTCTGCAATCAATGTTTGTTAGAAATTGAACTAAAACATTTGCTTGCATTAATTGTGACATGATAATGCATCTATGTTATGCACTTCGATTGCTTGTATTGTTTGTATCGTATCATGAGGTAAATATCGTTGCTCGTATTGAAATTGAAGATGATGTATCGTGGGACCCCTAGTTTTTGACATTCAATGGTTGATGTTTGGTGTTTGGCAACTGTAACAAATAACAAGTGGTGACATTTTGCATGTTAATGCCTTGTATTGTTTTTGGTGCAGTACCAATGTTTCACAGATTGAAAAGCTTAATATTAGACCATGAAACAAAAACAACTTTGCAATTTAATTAATGATTGAACATATTCAAAAATACCCATGTTAATCCCCTAGATGTACCTAATATACTTGAATTTAAGCTTACAGTGAGGAAGAATCCCAGTGGTATACTTGTAGAGGATGTTTATAGCGTTATAGACTTTATTTGTGATATTGATTAAAACACTGAAAGCCCATAGAGCCCATAGAGAAAATCAATGAATTCTCAAGGGGTACTAATAGAGTTTTATAGATGATATACCAGGTATATTAATATTCATATTCTGATACTATTGGGGAAGTATGAAAACTATGGTAATCCTTTCAGATACTGTAGTTTAGATACTGTACTACTGCTAGAATAAACAACGTTCGTAGTGATGTATAAGATAGGAGATGCTACTGGCTTACCAAAGTTTTACAAAATTTATAATTCAGATGATGCAACTGGAATTTTATGACAGTATCATTTCCTCTATTTATGTCACCACCACAAATGGTGACATACTGTTATAGTCTTTAACTCTTTTTTGGACAGTGTTTTGTGGTTGGTGTTTGGTGGTCAGTGAGCAGTTGGTATTCGGTGTCAACATAGTGTAATGGAACGTGGTGACATATTGCATGTTGATGCCTTGTACTTAATGTTGCCACGCCATTTTAAATTTGCCCCACCTATTTTTAGGTGAGCACCAGAAGTGATAAAATATTGTCATAGTCTCCAACTTTTTTGGGACGGTATTCTTCAGTCAGCATATGGCTGTTGGTGTTTGGCATACAGCGATCAGCGTCTGTAACAAATGGCAGACAGTGACATTTTGCATGTTATTGCCTTGTCTAAGGTCGTGAGAAAGGTTTCATTCGTCAAGGTCTATTTACACACTGTGGTCTGAGTTCACTGTTATTGAAATAATTTGTAACGGTAATCCCAGTATAATAATGAGGAAATGATGTTGATTGGTGATTAGCCGTATGTAAAAGTAATACATCAATACTTATCTATCAGCTGTCAGATTTCTCATTTGTTCTATTCTGTGATATATACCCTATTCATTATTCATTAATGGCATACTATCTGATTAGATGGTTTGTCTAAACCAATCAAGCACTTTCATGCAGTGAGGAAGAAATACATGATTAAAGTGCTAAATCAGCCTTTGAAATATACTTTGGAAAAGCTTCAAGCCAGTTTTATCTTATCCAATCACTTGATACTTGATTTTGATTGGTAGAGGAGTGGTTAATTATTTTGACAGTTGGCTGCATAATGCATCGCTGGTTAATATTCAAAGAATCAGATGAACAATTGACAGACTTTTATGAATATAAGTGTTCAATTTAGTTGTAAGTGAATTCAGTCATGCCTTTCCTCAGACTTGCAAAACAAAATCATTTTCTCCCTCTAACTGACATGAAGGGTGATGGGAGCTGAAATGTAATAGAACTATGGCTGTCAGTTTACTAGATGTATGTACTTAGTTGGTTTCCATAATTGATGTGACCATCATGTACACAATAATGCCAGTATTGATCTACAAGTGATGGGAACATTGAAGTAAAAGCATTTGAGGCTTTATACTAGAGTATAGAAGAATACAAATCGATGTTGATGGTCAGGTACTTTTAATATTGTGAAATACCCGTAGTATATGCAGAGACAGTTGTAGAACATAGACCCAAATATTTATTATTCAGATATATACTATATGTAAATTAATAACCCTAATAAAATGATATACTACTTTTTATTTATTTTTGTTGTCAATACACAGTCATTCCCTTTTTAGTGACCTATTGTCAGTTCTAAAGTACATTCCGGCTACTGAAATGCTCCCTTCAGCTGATTTAGTCATGAGTTGACCACACACTTCTTTCAAAACCAAAAGGGGCAAAACATTGGTTTTAAGATATGTTCTTTCAGACAATAGAGTTGCAATGATTAACATATTTAAATTGAAGAATCTATTGAAATGAAACAGTTGAAACATATTTCATGGTGTATATACAGGGTGTTCCAAAAGTAACAGGACTGGTGCTGGCATTTTGTCAATTTTGCACTGAGTGTCTTCACATTTTAACAAATTGTACTTTGAAGTATTGCAACTAAAATTGTTAAGTTTCATAAAAAATGATGAAATGCGGTCAGAGTTATGGTTACTATGGTAACATGACATCCCAATACCCGGGGCAACTTTTTTCCTGAAAATGTGATATCTAACATTTTTGTATTACTGAAGAAAGTATCTAATTCACCTATTATGATACATTTCTTGTTTATTTTATTAGTTGCTTTGTTGTAAAATGTTGCTATACAACTCAGATTCAAGTATAATTACATAATGATAATATTTATTCATTTTCCTGGAATATCACTATGTATAACAGTCTGAACAATTCATGGTTGAGTTTTTGAAAAGACGCAATTTGAAGTCAGTCATCCACCTTGATATCGCGCCTGCCCACAGGTCACCATTAAAGACAATGCAACTATAGAGCAGCTAGGTCTTGAGGTTTAAACCATGCACCATACTCTTCTGATAATGCAATATCTAATTTTTACTTATCAACGGAACGGAATGCTAATCAGTGCTGTAAGACCTTTAAAGATGAGAATGACCTTCTCCAAATGACATGCCCTCAAATGGGTTCACTCATGTGTTTGTGCCATGGATACAGAGTACTTCCCTTGTACTGACCAAAGAGGAGCCTATTTTTCAAAGTAGAGGATACATAGGAATATCAAATAATGTAAAACAAATGTAATTCCCACCAGATGTTGCATTTCAACTTTGATACGGCATGTACAATATGATATGGGATGTACAAAATGCTTATTGTCTCTGTAACTTTTTCGTGGAATGTTGCCCCGGGTATTGCGATGTCACGTTACTATAGCAACCATAACTCTACCCAAGTTTCATATATTTTGTCGAAACTTTGCACTCTTAGTAACGATACATGAAAGTACATTACGTAATATTTTGAAGACGATTGGTACATATTTAACAAAATGCCAGCACCAGTCCTGTTACTTTTGGAACACCCTGTAGGTCTTAATTCTGTTGTGAGTTTTAATTTTCTGGTCGAGGTCCACAGCATTTTCTTGAAGCTGGTCCATCACAATTGCCAGTTGTGAAAACACCATAGTCACACCCGAGTGACGTATCCCGACATACACCACCCAATGCTTCACACTTTGAGTCGTCTCTCACGCAACACTTACGTTCCGCTGGACCTCCACAAAGTCCACTTTCAAATTCTCCCCCAACACAATCCTTCTTGGTACTATAGAAGCATGTACCACTGCTATTAGTGCATGCTCCATCATTATAGATGCAGCATTTACGATTGACACCTCCGCTACATAGGTTACTTTGGAATGCTCCACCCAGGCAGCCTTCTGACACGTCCTTACATTCTCCTGCCTGATCAGTACAAGTCAGGTCACCTGTAACATACAAGTTTAGAGATGTTAGTATGATTGAGGCATGAGTCACTTAACAGATATAAGATAGCTAACAATTATTTAAAAGGTGTTTCTATAAATATTTCTGAACCAAGAAAAATACAAATATAGAATTCACCAATTTCAGTAAAACTTTATTTTCAAATTGTGGTTAAGAGTTGCCAGATCAGCTTGACTTGAGTTCTAACACAAGTCACCAATTTTACTCCAAATATGGAAAGTGAAAAAATAGAGCTGTCAATCAAAACTTTAATCACGTGGAAGAGTTCTTAATGGTCGATGCGCTAATCTTCTGAACTGAATAGAAGAAACATTTTAAACATAAACATAATAAAGCTAAGAATTTGACTTGTTTCTAATAAAGCTGAACATTGAATTTGTGTGCATTTAAAAGTTTATTTAATGATAACATGAAGTTAGCATGATCTATTGAATATTTAACTTGTTAACCTAATAGAGAGGTCATCTTTCAGTTCTTTCCTTCTTTGTATGTCTGGGTGATAACTGGTTGACAGAAAAGGTTCAAATTTTACAGGCTGATGTCATTTGCCTCCGCTACATAGCTTTGTCTATACTTATTGTGACTAGGCCTTTTCCTTCTCATCCCTAATGTAATTAGTTTCACAGAAAACGACAGTGACGTTTAAGTCATACTTAAGATGTCACATGGTATATATAGTTTCATGGGACATCTAGGATGTGAAATGTCAAGAGCATGTTTCTTTAAATTAAGTTTAATCTTCCTATATTGTTTTGCTAATCTACTGTCTGATTTTATATTAAAATAGTAGGAATAAAGTACAATTAGTTCAAAGCCACTGTGGCTTTTGTGAATAGTCATCTAATGGTTCCATGTGTCTAACAAGTAGGTTTATGCTATATTGGAATGACTTATGGGCCAGGCTGCTATAAATGATGGTTCAATGGGAGTTAATTAAAGTGAACACAATCAGATATTGATCTTCCAATTGCACACTGATTTCCTCATTTACATCTATTTTATTAGGATTTTTTATATCGTAATATTAGCATGTCCCAGTTAGAGGTGTGACGGTCCAAACAAAAAATTTTCGGTACAGTACGGAACGGTACAAATGGTCTCGGGACACTGTACTTTACCTGTCCAATATCGGGAAACCGTGACACCTCTAGTCCCAGTGCTGAATTGTTCTTTCTTATTTAATCTTACTTGAATTGGTTAGATGTATATTTGTCAATTGTGACTCGCTATATAGATGTATCATAAATGCTTATTACAAGGGCTTCGGTTATGTCATATGTACAGTTTGAATCAGAAAGAAATGAGTAGTTGATTTCCTATTACCATTTCCAAACCTTGGTGGTTTGAAAGGCCCTTAGTTTCCAAACTAGATGTTCCAAACTAGTTTTGATCTGGGGTAGCTGTTTTTTTTACCAAGAACAGGGTCACCATGGCAACTAGTTAATTATGGTTCATATTATAGAAATGTCCAAAATCACGATGCTGTACCTGCTGTAAATGCTTCTTTCCTCATTATATTTAGTCATGCATTTGTTTAATGCCCTCTGTATTCCTTTAAAGCAGACGAATTCAAACACTCATGCAACTTTTTTTTATAGAAAGTTAATTTATTTCATCACTTAGTTTGAATTCAAGATATCTTTTGTGACATTATATGAGAGGCAATGAAATCAACACAAAATTTTAAGAAACTGAGGATTAATAAAAAACAATTTTGTTTACCTATGCATTCTTTTACCCAGTTCCAATACCACAGAGTATTTGGGTTTGAGCATCCATTGGGGCCTCCATTATGTTGTCTTGCATGACGTTCACAATCTGTTGTTGCTGTTGTACAGCTTGAGCTATATCGTGACATGTAACTTTGTACACAACGCTCTGAACAGTTCCTGAACTGTGCACATGCTTCCCATCCTAAATATGATTCAACATTTTTATGTAGAATGTTTTAAGACTGAGACAGTCTCTTTTCCAAATAAATAGTGACAAAGGATTTAGGGATAGGGGTTGAAGTCTTTTACACGAGGGATCATTGAAAATGCAATTTAGTTGTGAATAAAACTAAGCAGTCAATGAGAAATTATTCTGGTAATTCTAATTTACCCGATGAGCATTTTTGAAAACATTATTAACTTATTATATGTTTATATGTTGTATCTAAAATACAGTAAAAATGACACTAACATTGCAACATTTTGAAACTTGTGACCATTTTGAAAAACGGCTTTTGGGCAGAACTTCTACTAACATAAGGCATATATATCTGCAAGGATTTGACTTAAAATAGTGTCCTAGAGCCTATGGCACAAGGGGTGCCATAGCCTATGCCATAGGGTATGCTATGGCACCGTGCCATGTTTTGTACTAACCCATAAATATGTGACTGTTTTGGATCAGTTTAATCAAAGGCATTGGGAAATCATTTTTGCGAAAAATTTAGTAAAACTTTGTTTTGATTGATTGAAAAATTGATTTGTTGAATGCAGTGTTGCAGTATGTTGTCTGTTTTACTACAACAGGAGTTTGTATCAGTTACTAAAGCCTCAGTCACATTTGGTCTATGGCGGCCATATGGGCCCCCATATGGTGGCCTTACTTTTACAAAATCGACACAGAAAATCTACATTGTACTGCTCATTCCTATATTTTATGCTGCATATTTCTTAAGATTTTTGGAAGCTATGGATGCTGTATGGCCACCACAGATGAAATTTGACTGGGCCATTATATACCTGCTCCAGGTGAATAGCAGTCAATGTAGTAAGGTTCTTTGATTTGATATGGACCACAGGAGTATGTTCCCACATCTAGGTTACAGGACCCAAGGTTATTGTCACATCCCTCTAACTAATAAATGATATATTAAGGAAATGTTATATTAGTTGTCTTAGGGGGCCCAATAATGCTCAAAGCCAGGCCCTCCACAATAATGTATCAATTTATAATTTATTGTGAAAATAAAAACAATTAACTTATTAAAAAAAAACTTAGACACTCAGTACAGATAAGTTTAGTAATAAACCAGGAGCTTTATAATTGAATAATATCATGATATTTTGCGAGGTCACAGCAAATGATTTTACCAATAAATCCTTGAACTACTTATTGTTGTTTTGGCCAAAAGTGAAAGTGTCGGTTTAATGTCTATTGCATTGATATAGAATGAAAAACACAACTATCTACAAAATATCCTTTTTATCAGGTATCATCAACACTCATATATAATTGAATACCCAGCATGACTTGATTGATAAAATATCACAAAACAAAATGACTGTTATTAAAGAAATACTCTTATAGGCCCAGTGATCTCCCCAGCATTGAAGCAAGTAGGCTCAGCAACCACCTGAGATTTAAAAAAGGCTTGCACCCACCTGAAAATCCATTTCCACCCACTTGACAAATAAAAAAAATCATGAAAAATAGGCATATTTTGACCAATTTTGGTCTAGATTGTGAAAATGACAATTTTGCACCCACTTGAGAAAAAATCCTATGGAGAACACTGAGGCCTGTAGATTTTACCTTGCATATGCACCTCATGCAATCATTGCTGACTGTGGCTTCATGTCTCTCTATGCATCCTCCTAGCCAGAGTATAACCATTGAGGATAGTACACTTTTCAGCATCTTCCCTTCAATGTAAGATTTGACAACTTGTTAATGTGGTATATTAAAATGAAAGCTTTGGTAATGGTGATTGAAGAATTGGCTTGCTAGTGGCTTAAATATCATAAGATAAGAAACTTATGAATGGCCTTATCAAAGTTAATATTTTTTCTTTGTGCAAAAAGTTGTTTATTTCAATGCATGTGATTAGTATAAAAGGTTATTAAAGGTTATAGTTCCATCTCATCACATAAGACTTTTCAATTATCATGTGTTTGTCTGTCCGTCTGTCAATCTGTCTGGACTCTACCGTCTGGACATCAGGTTGAATGATAACAGAATAAACATTACGACAATTTCCAAATCGAAAAACCTATGATTGATAACATTTTTAATAATTTAAGAAAAGAAGGTTTGATTGACATGTAATTATGAATTCATACCATTATAAGGTTGTGTAGACTAGAATGACAATTACAGAAATTAGCCCTTTAACCTGTCACCAAGTATTCCCCATGTTTTCCTTTCGTTGTAAAAACATGCTTCACATTGGAGTTAGCTGGACCAAATAAATCTATGCTAAGGCAAGGAGGATTGACTTCTAGGATCGAAACTTGATATTTTCCAACAATGAAAACGTTGAAATGTCGTTATTTTCTGAAGTTAAAACCGACTATAAATTCAAAATAAACAGTTCAAAAGATTCGATCCAATATCTCGATCATTTTTTTGAGTTTTGGAATTTTTCTTTAGGAAATAAGATCAAAATTTATGATTCCAATGTTGAAGTGAACAAAATGGCTGCTGTTTGATTTTGAATTTTGTATCACGACATGCCCATATATGGGACAGAATATGTTGCACTCTGAGAGCCAATTCTCCTTGATGCTAAGGTAAGCTTGAGTTTAATTAATTTACCCCTAAAATGTATCAGATATCCTAGTAGGTAGTTTTCCTTTTCTTGTAAACTGTAAAGAGTAACCATCAAGAAATACAGACATATATTGGTAGGTACTTATATATAGAGAGAGAAATAAACAGGGCTTTCCAAATAAATGCCCATTGGGCAGTTAAGTGAAAATATATTTTAATGGAGGGATCATCACTTCCTCTGTGTTGCTTTGATATTTCATAGATTCAGTGAATGGAGCAGATGTTGGGTCTAATAGAATAAAAACCTTGGAATTAAATCATTTATTTATAAGCTCAATTTTGTATCATGGAGTCAATATAAGAAAGTCTGACTAAATACCAATTAATAACTCAAATGCCAATGGATTGATTTTTTATATTTGAAGGCAGAAAATACCTGATATTAGTTATATTAGTTATATATTGGTGGAATTTATCAAAAACATAAATAATTGCTTATTCAAAAATGGATATCTTTGTTTGATGTTATTTAATTTTTAACACATTTATTAAGATGTTTTTCTCTATTTTCTGAAATGTTTAGACCTATATGATGTTATAATATCTATTTAATATATCAAAATTATCAATCTGGTTGAGAAATTAGGTGAAGTTGTTACATTTTGGAAATCTCCAAAGCATTCTTATTTTTTATTAGAGGTGTCACATTGAACCGAAGTCGATCCGAATCTCGAGTCAGAAGAATTTCAAACTTTTGGCTTGACTATTTCTTGAAAACGTATAAATTAGGAATAGGGGAATAGTTTACGGTTCTTCCCGAATGATTTATGCTAAGTTTTTATCATTCCCCCTTATTAAAGTATAATATGCAATATTGCAGGCTTAAACAGCAAGTCAGATTCATATTAAACAGCAAGTCAGATTCATATTTATTCTGACCCGACCCAAAAATTACCCGACCCGCACACTTTTTTCAGGCCCAACCTGACCGGAAAGATATCCAACCTGTGACACTCCTACTATTTATGATCATAACAAGATGCAAAATATAGACAGGTCAAAGTAGATCCCAAATGCGGAATTGACTTTCAGAGTCATATCTGGAGAAATCAAAGCCATTGATAAAGTTGAGTTATTGTTAGAGACAGTCTTAAGGTAGGCGAACTGCACTCTTGCTATCAGCAGTTGCATAAAATGTTACTTACGATATTGTACTAAGGCTACCTAAACTATTTATTTTAATGAATGATGCCAGTCTCCCCCGGTTTTAATATGTCACCACCCACCACAAGTGGTGACTTATTGTTATATTCTCAACTTTTTATGGCGGCAGTTGGAGTTCTGCATTTGGGGGTTGGTGATCGATATCTGTAACAAATGGCAGGTGCTGACATTTTGCATGTTGATACCTTAATTTAAAAAGGCAAATTATAATTTTTTAAATATTGATCAAAATTGATGGAGAAATGAGATGTATGCCAGTATTTCTTGATTTTCTCATTTTCAATCATGTGACAAATTGGTTTTCAATAGATGCTCCATGGATGTAGTGCTCACTTGCTACAGTAATGAGGAGATTACTTATTGAAGTTAACTTTCTGAAATTGAATTATTTAACATTAAAGTAGTTATTCTACTTAGTCAATTAAGGGGAATGTACATAAGTTCATTTTATCAACTCTTTTTTCCATATATTAGACTTACCTTTAAATGATGTTGTTGTCAGATGACTGATCTTCCGAATATATTTTGTGTGATATAATTACAGAAAGATTTCTTGGCAAACTTCAAAGGCAAACTGGAATGTATATTCCAAAAAATGTATTGTCAAGATTTTCAGTATTGCTACAACTAAGATATCATTGGTTGAAATTCTACCTGATGCATTATGGGAACAGACATCTTCAGCATTATGTGACATTTTGAAGCTTCCTCAATTTATCTATAACATCCCTAATTCTTCGAATTGTTTCAGGATGTTTTTGAAGTCAGCCAATCATTGGTTGTGTTGGTTTCTCTCTGAAACTGCATCAGGTCATCATACATCTATGTTCATGTTTCAGAGTATTGGCTACAGTTTACATAACAATTACTGTCTTCGCAGTTTCCTCTGATCAGGAAAAATATATCCATTTGAATTAATCATAAATAAAGTATATACTTGATAATATATATCAGATAAATATCAACATCAAAACTGTGAAATTCTCTGTAAAGGTCAGAGGGTAGGGTTGCTAACCAATGAAGCAGGGTAATTCTTTCATCTGCTGGTTGCCACCTTTTGAATGTTGAAGTATGAAATTACTCTCAAGATTTTGGTTATAATGAATATGTTGTAGTCGTAAATACTGAAACATGGATGATGTAAGAAAAAAAACTATGGGGCTCAATCAAATGAGTGGAAAAAAAATTGAGTTCTTGAGAATTCAATAAAAAGTCTCCAGGATCTATTAGGCCATCTTCAGTCAAAGGGTATTTCTCTTCAGTGAAGTCTGATCTTGAAGGATGCTATTAGATTGTTGCAATCCTTTTGAATTTGTCAAGTGGGAGTCCTTTATCTTTACTGCTTTGAGATATAGTAGTTGTTAGGAACTTTGTAAGACCTGTTTAGTTTAATTTACATCTAGAATATTTTATAGCCTCTAGATCAAAGAAGTATCTCTAATGTAGATGATTGTACATGTAGATGGGAGCCAATGTCAAATTAATTTTAGAAAATAAAAGTGGATTTATCTGTAAAATCACCAGCTTTATCTGAGTAGAGATCACTGAGTGATTACAGTCTGGTCTATGCATTAATTATGAGAGACAATTGCTATATATAAAGTAAAATAGTCCAACAATGCTTCCTTTGTATTATAGGGTACAAGAGTTTGATGGCAGTTTCTTTGAGAGTTTCACTGCGTTGACATGGAAACAAGAGAATAGAAGACTGCGCTCTGCGAGTGAGGTATGTCATAAACCTAATATGTTAATTATCATGTCTGTCCATCTGTCTGTCTTTTAGACTTACCAATAATCCAATTAAACTATAAAAACAAAAACAAAGCAAAACAGTCCGTATTATTTGAAAAAGTATACCACAGCAAATATATTTGAAACTGAAAATTAGAATATTTGAGGTTGCTAGATGTTTATGATAGAAAAGGTATATTGTTTATCATATTGGATATATTGAGTTATTTTAGAATTATCAACCTTATAAATTGAATTAAATTAATAAAAGATAGAAGGCAATCGGTAATAATAATATTGTTTAATGATTATGTATCAATGTAAATAAAGGAATATAACAAAATGAATTTCAAAACATTGCAATGGCAACATATTTATTGAACATTTCTCCATACTTGGTTGTTATTAAATTGAACAAAATAACTCCCAGGAAATTCAGTATTTATAAGGCCTTGAAGGCAAATCATGGTCAATAACATTAAGAATCTGGGACTGTAGTTCACAGCAATTCCCACCCAAAAAAGGGGCCCAAAAGGTCATAAAAATAGTCGGTTTGTGTGTGACATATGGGGTTAATTGAGCTCAGGGGGTGATGCAGAATTGATACAAAATCTACCAACAGTTGCACTTTACCAAATAAAGAATCTTTCTCTGACGGCCTCAACCAATATCGACCTCTCCATACTTAGGAAGGGAATGGAGACACTCAGGGATGATAGCCTGTCAATTTGAATATTAATCTTGGGTAAGCCAAGATGACAAAACTGAACACAGATGATTTCATTATCGGCCAAAACAATTCATTTTCATCTCGCATTCCATATGTTATGATCTCAAAGGGACCTATAGGGAGTGATAACATGTTGCTTGATGCCATCATAAAGTGGCTAAATAGCACTTCAATGGTTCAAAGCCACCTGATAATTTCTCATGGGAGCATTTCACAAGGTAGAATTCAATTGTAATAAGTCTCACAATGTCAGTTGCTCATGTCTTGACAGCCCCAAAAGGTATGATTCAATTGTATAAAGTATCACATAGCCAGTTTCCCATGTGTAGAAAGTCTCCCTAACGGTAAAATATCCATGTAAAGGAAGTATCACATTATATTAGGCCAGTTTTCCGAATGTAAATAATCAAATCTCACATAGGGATAACTCTACAGAGGGCGCTAGTGAAAAGGTAGAAGACAAAAAATCTAAATTTAAAATCGGGATGATGGTTGATTGAGATCAAGATTTATCAGTGCAATCACTAGTGAAAATGTACAGATTTTATGTTTTATTTTGTTTATCTTGTGTGTATATAATTTTACAAAAAGTTTAACGAAATGATTCGGTTCACTTCAAATATTTGACTTTTTGTGACGGTGGTCTTGAGTTTGAAATCTATTGAAAATTGTTTAAAATTCGGATAGATGGCGGAAAAAGCGGTCATATCTTTTTATTTCAATGGCCTTTCTATGCAAAAACATTTCAGTTTTAAAGGGGACATGTGGTGGTGGTATATGGGGTTATGTACCGAAAATCCTCATTTTTTCATAATCAATCAAGAGATTTCAATATTTTTACATTGGATTACATTAGAGCATTTGTCTGTGGAATTGTCCCATAAAGAAAGTCTTATAAAACCACTCTCATATGTATAAAGTCTCTAATGGCCAGTTTCCAATATGTAAAAAGTCTTAAAAGGCTAATTTCACATTTGTTAAAAGTCCCAAAGTGTAAAATTTCAGTATAAAGGAAGTCTGACATGGTCTGTTTTTCATATATAGAAAGTCACATCCCACATAAAGAAAGTTTTACAAAGCCACTTTTTCAGATGTATAAAGTCTTTCAAGGCCAGTTTCCCTTATGTAGAATAAGTCTTGAAAGACCAATTTCACATTTATAGAAAGTCCCAAAGCGTATTTCCATATAAAGGAAGTCTGACCTGGCCTGTTTTCTATATATAGAAAGTCGCATCCCACATAAAGAAAGTCTTACAAAGCCAGTTTCTCATATTTAGACATTCTCTCAATGCCAGTTTCCCATATGTAGAAAGTCTCACAATATCAGTTTCCCATATGTAGAAAGTCTGATAAGGCCAGTTTCCCATGTGGAAAGTCCTATAAATAAGGTCAGTCTCCATATATAAAATGTCTCACAAGGCCAATTTTCCAGATGAAAATGTCTTGAGAGTGCACTTCTATGTAGAAAAGTCTCAGATGGTCAGTTTCTCCCCCTGTAGAAAGTTTCAAAAGGCAAGACTCTAATGTTGATAGTTTGATAAGGCCAGATATCCATGTTGAAAGCCAGAGCCTGAAGTTTCTTATATAAGCAAATTAATCACAATCAATATTTGGTTGCTAATCTAGCCTTTTCCTTGAAATCACATGTCTCAAATGACATTTCAGAATATAGAATGAAAGGGATGTACTTTATACATGTGTATTTGTATCCAAATATTGTTCAGTTTGTCAATTGAAGACAGTTTATTGTAGATTGATAATGTCTTTTAGATATGGCACTCAGTATTAAAATTAAGAATGGGTCCAGATTCATGGAAAAATGGGCAAACGTTTGATTTATTCAAAGGAAAGTGTTAAAATGTTGCCATCTCCTTTTGTCAATTTCTAATACCCCTCTTTTTGGAGAAAAACTGATGATTGAAATTTATGATTTTCCACATTCAAGAGGACCTACACAGAAAATATTAAGCATATTCAGCCAAATTAAGAAGGAAAATACTGCGAGGGAGCTCAATAATGACTTTATTTGATAAAATTTCACGTATGTCATGTCAATTCATATGCAGTTCTTTTTCAGAATTTTTGGTTGAATAATCTTACATAAAGATATTATTAATAGTTCCGGGATGATTGAATACTAATATGACAGCCATTTTGAAAGAGAAACTTATACATGGAGAAATTACTTATGAGTTTGTCTTAATTTTAAATTAACTTGACACAATAAGATTGACTAGACTTGAACTCTCTTGACTTGCTCTGTTGACTAATACTTTTTATGAGATTGTTTTGTTTACTGAAATATGTATTAACTTGTGATAGCAAACTAGTTTTTTCATCTTTATATTCCATAATGTAGGTTTGAATTGACATGAGAATCCAAGCAAGTGAAGCATACTATACTGTTGAGATTTTGAAATAATGCAATGCATGCACCCATTGAAAAGGAAAAAATGAAAGAGCATTTAAAATAAAAAGTTGATCAACTTTGGTCGTGATTTTGGAAATGAGAATTTTGCATCTATTTGTTTCGAAAATTCTAGTTTGGGAAATACTGGGTTAATGTAATTGTAGATCCAGAATGGTGTCAAGTAGTAATCCTTATTACATGGTGTTATTTTACCCTAAACTACACATTCTCAGTCGAACTATCTTGATACATGATTAGAGGTGCAAGTTTCGAAGAAAACTAGAGTCAAGTCTAATATGAAAAATGGAGCCAAGAGTCGACGAAAAAACTCATCTTTTGGTTTCTTTATTTCTGCTAAAATTATTCAAGAAAATTGTGTGAATTTACCTCAAAAAGGTCAAAATGGTCTTTTTTCAACTTGCATCAAATTGACCATTTTTTCAATTTCATCTACAAATTATCAGAAGTTCAAATCTGACTTTAGATTTGAGATTTGACCTTCAATGACCTTCTCAGGGTCAAAAAATGTCTTTTTTCAACTTGCTTCAAATTGACCAATTTATTTTCCAAAATCATCTACAAGTTCTCAGAAATTCAAATCTGACTAAGTTTGAACTCATAATATTGTTAGCAACTAGGTGGTGACATTTTGTCACGTTAATGCCTTGTTGTTTAGTGTAATATCATAATTTCATTTTCTTAATTATGTTTCAAACAAGATAACATTATAAACATTTAATAAATAAAAGAGGGCAGCTTGATATGGCTATTAAATCCAACTTAGGTAGCAACACAATAGAATGAGTTGTTGTTTATTTTAAAGAATGTAATATACAGTTTTATCAAAAGGAAAGTACATCCTTTTCTATTGTTTTTAAAGAATGGACACTTGGCAAGCTATTAAAAAAGTGTGGCAAAAATGACGATTGGCAGTTTTTTATCGTTTCCATCCCCTAAAACAATATATATGCAGTACACTGAAGCTGAACTAATTATGCCGCTTTCACTCACTTACTCGTACATGTATCAACTCACAATACCTCCAGTTGAGTAGTGAATACTAAAGAAATCAAATTTTCTAGATTGGATCATGGACCATTTGGCTTTCATAACAGCCAGTGTGGGTTTTAAGTAAGATAAACAATCTACCTTGGGTTTTATGAGAAAATAATTGTTGTGGATCTGAATATCTGTCATATGTGAAAATATGCATGTACTACTCGTATTACACATTATTTTGAGTAATATTTTTTTATCAAACATCATAAGAGAGATGCAAAAAACTTAAGATTAAAAATTAATAATTTTTCAAGAATTATATTGAAAGATATTGTTTTAATACATTCAATATTTGAATCACTTATGAATACAAATTGCAGTGATATCATTTTGAGCATACTACACATGTCAACTCTCTGCCATGAACATATTTTGGACAGGGCAGGGGTCCGCAAACAGCTTGAACAGGATAAAACAATGCACCATCTTTGTTTTCATGGCCTCCATCAATTGTTTCTGGTTCTTCATCCATACATTCAAAGGCTTTGTTGTTTGCATGTGGGTGGTGTTCTGCTACGAGATAGCCTTTGTACTCTTTGTTCCAACCATTTGGGCATGTATGGAGCGCTGGTATCATTACCAAACTTCTAGGTATCTGGCACACCACACAGGGAACATCATGGTCATGTAAAGAATGAGGATTATGAGTGTCTGGAGCATTGGTTGCCTTGAATGGGATCTCATGAGAAGCATGAAACTGATATTCAGCTCCATATATATATGCACCAATACTATGAACACCATCAGTGTAACTTCCCCATTCAGGCTCATTAGGCAGACATAAATAGTTGCTACCACCTCCAGAATTCAAATAAGATGACCCTGCTGCAACACCTGAATTATTGAATATGATATATACATGTACATGTACTATTTGCAGGTCAGGTAATTAGGAGAATTTTAAAAACAATTTTATCCTCAAAATTTCTCTGGAAAATGGTATTGAGCTTATTTTGAGCTTATCTAGTTCACATGTATACATTTAAAATATGAATTTTTAGCCTTTAAAATGTGTATTTATACCTTTGTATAAGACACTTGTTCCATTTGTATCTGGACACACTGTTCTTCCCCAGCGTACATATGTGCTCCATACTGCTGACTCTACTGTAATTTGTTTGATTAATTTACATCTCATTCATTCTTCATAAAATACTTTTTGTCATTCATATTGTCAGTAATTTTCAATGTACGAATAATTTGAAAAATAACATTGTTTCACTTGTTGAAGTTACATTATTTATTGTGTTGTTACATATATTACTGGAGAAGTTACCATACTTTTACCAGGTACATTGTACATGTATGTGAAAGGCAATATAATCAGACATACCAGCTGGAGTTCCACATGGCAATTCAAATTCTATATTACAATCCTTCTCAACAACAGGTATGGACTTCAGAGCTCTCTTGACAAAATAAATATACAAAAATTATCGATCATATTTAAGATGAACAACCTGAAAACTATTAATTAGATTTTCAAAAATATTTGCAGACTTTTAGAGATAGTATCACTATATTTGATATATTATATATGATATTTTATATGTACATGCAAGAGTTAACACATTATATTTTTGGCAATTCATCTAGTGTATTCTCTTGATTTCTGTTCTTGAGTACCATTTGTGTTTTTTTCAATAGTTAATGAAAACACAGAATGAAATTCTGTGCTAAGGGCTGATGTGAAAAAGTCAGCCAACCCTCGTGGGGATCGAACACATGTCCCCTCGCTTGCCATATTAACATTGCATAGATAACATTGCAGCCATGTCTTACATGCCCAGTTTCCTGGTCCAAATAGAGTTCCCTGTCTTTCCAGGTTGTTAATCATTCTATTTATGATGTCACATGGATTTTCCCATGAGCCATTCCCCTCAGGAGAAATAATATTAGTTAATGAAAACACAGAATTAAATTCTGCGCTAAGGGCTGATGTGAAAAAGTCAGTCAACCCTAGAGCCATTATTCTCTTGAATCCCAGGCTCTCAAAAATCAGTTTGAAATTAGAGAATTTTTCATTTTTGCTAGTTTTTGACATTCTACCATACATACAACAGGTGATGCTCAATTTAGTGAATTTAGTTGGCAGGGATCATTTTTACACATTCTAAAACATTTTTGTCCATGAATTATTCAAATTAGAGCAATTTTAGTGAAAGATTTTGTGACAGATTATCTTAAAACTCTAGGTTTCTGGTTCATTTTAGGTGACGAGAACTCTTGTCACTCTTGTTAGTGAAGAGGTAAAACAGCAAGAATATTTCTTACCTTTATCTTGTCAATCCTTTCCTTGCATGATTGTGGTTTCCTTGTGGCAGCATCAACCAGATTGGTTTCCACTCCAGGTATATCTGAGGTTATGTCGAAAAATCTCTTTATGGCCATATATGGACAAATTCATTTCTCCCACCCCAATACTGTTGATGATAATAATGACAAATTTTACAAGGTGCGCAAGATTCTTACATACATCGTCAAAAAATTCCAGAAATATTTCCAGCCAGGTAGGGAGCTGGCAGCTGATGAAAGTATGATTTTATTCAATGGACGACTTGCGATAAAACAGTATATTAAATCAAAACCTACCCCTTGGGGCATAAAGGCCCACACCCTTACTTGTGCAAAGCACAAATACACTCTCAACATTGTGCCATATGCTGGAGCGAGCACCATTGAGCCAGTGATGTCAAAAGGTGGCAAAGGTGATCAGCCTCTCCCTACTAGTGTTGGTGTTGTAATTGCACTAACAGAACCATACGCAAATGAAGGACATGACATATTTACTGATTCTGCGTACACTAGCTTGCTATTAGCTTCTGAATGTAACGACAGAGGATTTAATCTTGTGGGAACAATAAACACAGCTAGAAAAGGCCTGCCAAAAGAAATCGTCAGCAAGACAGCACCTCGTGTAAAAACTCTAAAGAAAGGTGAGAGCCTTTGGAGGACAAAGACAAAGAGGCGTCGTGGTCTTACAGTCAATGTCCTGACATGGAAAGACAAGCGTAATGTATCCATACTGACATCAAAGATTACTTCCAAGCGATGTAACATGGTGCCATCATTCACAAGGTAGGCATTATAAAAAATGCACATGAGCATGATACTGAATAAATGTATACTACAGCACATGTACATATTTCATTTTCAGGTTTGATATAAGCATCTTAAGTTTGAGTTTGATTAAATTTGACTACAGTATGCCACCATTCATCTTAGTTAAAGAGAGAATCAGATCTAACGAGCAGTCTAATAAAAAATAATTTCAATTTTAGAATATTTCTGGTTAATGTCCTTCTGTTTTATGTCTATTTTCTAAAAATCCCTGAACTGCACACTTATTTTCAGGAAAACTAAAGATTTTTACAATTATGTATTATGTTTGTATAATAATAGTTATCATTCTTATTGTTTAGGAGAATTTAAACATTTTCACCCATTTTTGCACTTTGAATCCATTATAACTTCGCCAATTTATAACATATCATGAATCTTTTGGGAGATATTGTATTTGAGATTGTAAGGAATAGATTGATTGGTCAATTTTACATTTTGCTTGTAATTTTGTAACCCCCATAGATCTGCCAAGGTAGATCTAATTTTGCCCTTTAAGTCTTTTTAGTATTTATTTTTCTACTTTTTACATATTTATCCTAGGAGAAGAGGAAGGTGGGTCGAGGGAGAAGTTAGTAAACCTGAGCTTGTGCAACTCTACACCAAGTTTATGAGAGGAGTAGATGTAGCGAACCAGCGTGTTGGTACTTACAGACGCCACTTCAAGACTAGGACATGGTATCGACAAGTGTTTTTCCATTTGATGAGGGTGTCTCTTGTAAATGCACACATCATTCATACTGAGGTAATAAATGCTAACAGTATTAAAGGTAGAGCTTCAGTGGCGGATCCGGGATCCCAAAACATTTTGGACCCAGAAATTTTGTAAGGCCTCAAAATGGACCTTTATAGGCATGATTTGGCATTTTAGGCCTTTCTAGGCCAAATTTTCCTCGTTAGCTTCTGGATCCGCCACTGAGCTGAAATGTAGATAAAAAAGTAGCTGTATTGTTATAGAGAACTTACACAACTTACACCTCACTCAACCTAAAAGCCATACTTCTACCCTTCAGTGATCTGAATGTTGCCAGCTTTAATACATGACTAACGCACCACTTGACTAATTCTTTTGTTAATTGTGTATTGGTGATCTATTAGTGATGTATTAGTGGTATATTAGATCTCTTTTTACATGGGCAATTCATTCCATTCAATATGCATTATTGTAACTGATTCAATTTTTTGTACTAAAAATTTTGTAGAGTAACAATGTTACCTCATTTAGAATGTACACCAAAGTTCACCTGAATGTACGCCTGATTCAGAATGTCTTCACATGATTTTTTTCTTTTATCAAAGCTTCACCCGGAAGACTCAATGCCACAGAGGAAATTTCATTTGGAAGTTGCAAGTGGCCTCATCAATGGCATGGTGAGTAACGCTCATAAACGTGTTATACTCAGTCCGGATACAAGACATGACAGGGGGATGGCGCATGCCCCACAACTTCAAAGTACTGCATCATGGTGCATTGTTCACAAACAAAGATGTGACACAAAATACTCGTGCAGGGTGTGTAAAGTTAGGATATGTCCAGATCCTTGCTTTTTCAGGTATGTTTTTATGGTAAACTATGTTAAAATGTCAGAAACAAGTCAAATTCTTTACTTCAGAGAATATTTTTAATTAAATTAAAAATATTCTCTGAAGTAAAGAATTTGACTTGTTTCTGATATATTAACCAGAGAGATGAACTTACATAGAATTATGTTAAAATGTTTTCACTTTTACTTATCGATAAAAATATAATTACTCTCAACATATTTTTTTGAAACAATTAATCTGCAATTTGATATGCCTCATTTGAGTACAAGTTCTGCTCAAAAGTAAATTTTCAAAATAGCCACCAGTTTCAAAATGGCCGCGATT